AATTCATTAAAGAATCGGGATACAATATATCAATACATTATTGTATGGGGTATATTGACAGCAAAAATGACTTTCATAAATACAGAATATTATATTCATAAAAGGTCACAATAAATTACAAATATGAACTATCATAATTATTGAGTAAATTGAGTTATTTAATGTTGGTCAGTGCTTTTGAAAGTTCAAAATTATGTTCGCCATGCGCCGCGAAGAAACAGAAATCAGTTGTCAAACCAACACTGTTCATCATTTATGCGGTACTGCAATTTAAGGCCGAGTCTCTACAGCCGAACTTAAGAATAAGCAATGCAATTATGTTTGGAAAAACATATTGACGCTGCAAGTCTGTTGCTTAGAAACACCTAAAAAGTATCATGACTCATATCATTATACTAGTACATTGCCATCATTCCTTTCGCTGTGATCTAATTGCATTTCTCAATTACATTATTTATTTAGCCATTATAATTATTCATTCAACGAAGAAAATTATCCATATGTTTTTCTTTCCTTTCACTGCCGTCAATAAATAACTCACAACTCACATTTCCTCATGACAACACTAGTCTATTCAAAGATCATGAATGCTCATATCTTCCTTAATATTAATTGGGATGATAAACGCGTACTGTAATTGTTTTTGGGAACTCCTTAGTTCAGATTATCTTACTTTTCCGGGTGGCTAATCATAACTTAAATTCTCGATGTGGCCTTACATCGGTAATCATCCCGGAGTCATGTCACTTACCCAACAACGGCTCTCACGCATTCACGCCATCCAGAGTAGATTACCCGCACCGTCACGGCTGGGACGTCCCATTTCCTTTTATCCCTCCCTCCCAATTCAGTGTGCCCACAAACGTCATATCACTCACCCGAGACCGTTGTGTACACATCAACGCCGCGCCGGTCCGCCCCGGCGTACGAACGGTCAGCCGCGACCATCTGCAGGATGTTTTACTTTTTGTTGTTGTTTTTTTATTTCTTGTCGACTCGGAAACTTTGACGACGATGGACTAATAGCGAAGATGGGACATAACCTAAGTGGCGGCACTGTGGATCATTGCTGGAAGGGGTGGGAAAAATGTCGGTAAGGAGTGGTATTTGGGGGGCGAAATAGTAAAGGATAGGGTAGTTTAGTAGCTTGAGGTTCGATATTCGACATTAGTACAATAAACCTTAAGATTCGATGTTCCAAAAAGTTTTTTAATTTTGTATACTTCAAAACACGAGGCAAAATTTGCATTTTCCCTAACATGAAACGAATTCGAGTTTATGAATTCTTGGCTAATCGGGAGGCATCGCGTCGTTGACTGAGAGGCGGATCGGTGTCTCCCGGATAGTCAAGAATTCATGGAATCGAGCCGCGGAAGCTTACGTGAGCATCGAATTTGAGTTTACCTAAAATTAATTACTTATTTTAGGTCACGTGTATTTCCCATTACCAATATTTTAAATGTTGATCAAAAGGAAAGGCTTCTTTCCTCTAAGAATACTTCAGACACGTCTCTAATAGTGGCCAAACATTTTATTCCAGAAGTCGACTTATAACATGTCCTTAAACTGGGATGATCGATCCAGATAGCCGAGATCGCTAAGGCAGTAGTATGTGGTGATGTCATATCAAAGCGATCGCGAGTTCGAATTCCGCCTCCGGCATGGATGTATTTGTAATCGACCTTTCACCCTTCATCATCATCATCCTATCACTTCATTAGAGAATAATTAATTAATTGTCACTCAATAAGAGAAGAATTGCGGGAACAGGAGGGCCTTGCCCTTAATAGGATATGCTGTTAGATAATAATAAAAAAAATCTGGGATCACGTTGTCAGTTCGGAATGCCGGAGTGGTACAGCGATACGGATGTCAATGTTTCCAGATGGTGAAGTAACAAGAGCTCGGTGGGCGGGGAAGCTGTGACATGGGGTGAGAGGTGGCGGGATGCAATGATGGGGCTATGGAGAAAGCCGAAGTTTTATATATTTATCTTTAACTTTCAGTCACATTCCAACTACTTAAAGTTAAGATGGTGTGAAGGGATTCTGTAACTCAAGAAATAGTGTGCAGATCTTGTCCCCCATACGTCATATACAGTTTATTACTGTCTGAATATAAATGTCTTTCCAAGCTGGATGACCGCTAACAAAGCGTAAGAACTTTGGGAATAGATGCTGCTCCTGCAAACAAAATAAGAATAGCACATGCGAGTTCGCGGAGTTGAAGAAGTAGGATATGGGTGTTATTCAGGAGTGGAGAACGTAGAAGGGTTAGTGGGAACATTTTGGTTGATGATAGAGATGTTCAGTAAGGCAAGGGGAAGGGAAGGGGAAGGGAAGGGAAGGCAAGGGGAAGGGAAGGGAAGGGGAAGGAAGGTAAG